GTCACTGGCACGCATGAACGTGTGTCATGCACGTTTGTGCAGAAAAAAAACCAGTGCAGTGTTTGGGCTCAAGAGCTCATTAATTACTTCAGTCACAGAACTTTTAAACTTTTTGTATCTTTAAAAGAAGCTGTTTTTACACACATGAATTTCAGACAGACTAAAGTCCTCCTGATTGGTTGTTCACACATGCACCTAACACGAGACTCTCATGGTCAGATTTGCCTTCATGTCAATGCTCTGTGTAGTTCAACAGAATCACAATGTCAACAAAAAGTGGAGTAGAACATACTGGTGAGCAGAAAACATAATGCAGCAGTCAACGTACATGCATGGAGTTTGAAACAGTCGCTTGCATACAGTCCGTGGTCGTGCACCAATCGCAGGGAATAAACATCAACACCCCCTCCCGCTGGCTCGAGGTGAATTCTCCAGATTATATCCTGCTGTGTTCTCACATCAGCTCACACGGACATCATGCTGAAAAATAGCCAGAGGGCTGGCAGGAGAAACTTCAGATAAAGTCAGAGTGAAAAACTCCGCTTTTTGTGTTCACACATGCAGCTTACCTTAAATAAAATCTGGAGTTTTTCAGGACTTTGTAACCGTGAGTAAGGCTTGAGACAAGGTAGGACAGATTAGGGCGCCTATAGTGGTTAGTGCGGGCATCCCATGTATGGAGGCTGTAGTCCTCCAAGCAGATGACCCGGTTTCAAATCTGACCTGTGGCTCTTTTCTCGCATGTCATTCCCCACTCTCTCTCTCTACCTGATTTCTGACTCTATCCGCTGTCCTTTGTCTAAATAAAGGCGTCAAAAGCCCCAAAATAAACCTTGTATTATTATTTTAAAGGAAAGATAAGACAGATTGATTCACTTGAATCAAGAGAAATCACTTGTTTCTTGGTTAAGATGATGTGTTTTAGAAAGATGTCAAAATAATCTCACTGCACAGGGTGATGATTTCTGCTAAATCATTTTAAGGCTCAGTGAGATGCATAAATACACTTTTTGCAGAATTGAAGGTGCACCACCATTTGGTTATTGTAACTTTTTTGCTGGTATGTTTTTTTGGAAAAAGGAACATCTGAAATAGAATGATCTGGTTCACACTGAAACTTGAGTGAAGGTTTTTTTTTTTGCAAATTGTTCTCTTCTGTTCTTTTGAGGTTAAATACATCCGCAGTATCTGATTATGTGATTGACTTCTTGTTCATGAAATCCATTTACAGCCACAGAAACCAATCATTTGGTTAATTTACTGTGCCAGCAGGTTTTCTTCCAAAACGACCACTGAAAACAGTTCATTCAGGAAGTGGGCAGGTCATGACATCATTTCCTCTTCTGCCAGTTCAGGAAGTAGGACTACAGCTTTCCAGTTTCCGCTCCATGTGAGTTTTACTTTTCCTGGAAGTCCAATTATTTTAGGAAAGTATGCGTATGTATGTATGTGTTGAATTCTGTATCCTAGCAGAAATATCTTTAGGATTATGCTTATCAAGACATGTTAAACTTATTGACATCAGTGTTATTAGACACAGTTTGTTACATTCGGGTAATAAACTGGACACATACAAAAACAAAAAATATCATTCTATCCTTTTTAATCTAATTCTTAAGATGAGACACAGGCTGAGTTGGTATAAATGACTTTTACAGAAAAAGGTCAAACATAAGGGTGAAGGCGAAATGAAAAGTTATAGAAATGGGAACAATTTCTAATAGGAGGCATTCATAACGAAATGCTGGAACTGAATGTACTATTACAAGTCCTTTAATAAATAAATGTAGCCATGAGCTCCACATCAGACTGCAGATTGAGTACATGATGTCCAAATGAAATGTCTGGACCAAATACAGTGGAGATGGAGTCTGTTTTTTTGGGCAGTAGAATCAACTCCGGCGCAGTAGCTGCTGCTGAGATGGAGAGGTCAAGAGAGTGAGCTAAAACCACTCGGTAGCCCACAGTTATTGATTTCTCCCACAGCAGAGCGTACTGCAGGAAAACATCTGGGGAGGCTTGTGTGTGTTTCAACTCCACTTTGTTTTGCACAATATCTGCCCTCTTGTACCCCTCGGACCTTAACAGAAGAGATTCTGCAGCACTCTCCTCTAGATTGTTTGTGCGCTGATCAAACACAGAGACACACACACTGCGCAGACGTGAGGGCAGTAGCAAAAAAAAAAAAAAAAAAATTTGAGCCATCAGAGAGCTGAAACTTGACGTTGTGTTTTTTTTTAAGTTTGTAGGAGTGTGTGTGAGCAGTCATCTTAACGTGAGCGGCTTCCATCCCCGGCTTTGGTTCGTCATCGAGGCCAGCTGAGATGCAGCCTTATTGTCTGGCTCCAACAATGGACGGCAATGGTGTGAGTCAGCCGGCACACACACACACACACACACACAAATCCATTCATTTATCAGTGCCAGCGGAGAAAGCAGGGGAAGCTCAAGTCATGATCTGGCTCCATGAAGCAGATATGATCCTGTGGTACACAGTAGAGCTAAAATCAAGAAAATAAATTATTGGTTATTTGTGAACTATTTCATTGTGGATTCAATCGTTTAGCCCAGGAAGCATCAGAATATTGTTAAACAATTAGAATGAATATCTGCTTCGTTAAAAAATAGTTGGTCTTGGGTAGAAATAGAAGGCCAGCTCACCTCCAGAGCTCTGCCAATGTGCCTTTGAGTAAGGCACTAAACGCTAAAAACTGCTCAGGCGCTCTGTCGCGTGCAGCCCTCTTCACTCTCACATCTCTCTGTTAGTGCCCGTAGGTTCCTGTTTGTGCGTGTGTGTAGCAAGTTCCAAATCAGCGCAACAATTTGAACTCCTCTCAAGGACTAACAAGTATGTCTTCATCTTCTTCTATTATAAAAAAGGGTTACTGATTCATTTGGCCAGGAATCATCCAATCACAAATTCACACAAATTTAAGAGGCTGACACAACTGAATATTTGGCTTTTTTTTGGGGGGGGGGGAAACAGTTGGTCAAAGTTGTCTTATTCATTTTCTTTCAATCAACTTATTTCAGCGCCAATGATTTAGATTTGAAACATAAAATATTAACTTCATCGCTCCGTACAGGCCATCAACTTTCCTTTCATCCATACATCTTTTAATCTTCCCCTCATTGTGTCACTTATTTTTCAGACAAATGACACCCTCTTGGTGTAATGTGTTCAGATTATAAATAAGACACACAGCTACTAAACCTCACCAGTTTAAGCTCCTGAGGGCTGACACGCCTGTTCAACCGTCTGTTTTCACTGCACAGAGCTAAATTAACCGTGATGCTAATTGTCAGCCAGGGCTGGCTCTCTTTCCTCTCCAACATTTGCATTTTCTTCCTCCATAGGCTCCCCTATACTGCCCTGCATTCCAGCCATCTCTCTCTCTCTATATATATATATATCCATACGTCTCCTCCTACAGCTTTTTTTCCGCTTTGTCTGTCGCCATTTCTTCCCACTTACTTCTTTCTTCCCCTCATCTTCCACTCCAGCTGCTGAAATAATCTCCTTCTTTACATTGGTTTTGCTGCTGAATTGGTCTATTCCTGTATAATCGTGTCTATTGTCCCTGAGATAAAAAAGAAAGGCTTCTAGTAGATGTTTTGTGATTCTGAATAGACAGAAATCATCATTCATGAAGCCATCTCTGTCAGGGAAAAAAATAGCTTCTCATGGTGTTTATAGTGCATTTATAAACACATTAAGTGTTTCATAATGTGTTAAATGAATTTAAATATTCTCACTCAGGGGATTACGTTGACTGATGTGAGTGCTGAAGGACGTCCTATAGGTTGTAGTGATGGCGTCCTCAGTTGGGAGGCAACCCCAACACTAAGAGCCCCCGTCGGGACGCTCACAATCGGGGAGCACCAGGCGTGTGTCAGGGCTAACCAAAGGCAAACCATAGACCCAAGGACAAGCTGCAACACACACACAAACACAAAGAGTTGTTTAAATTCTGAAGCGTGGTGTGTTTAATGTGTGACCATGTAAAGGCGAGGACATGTAGATGAGCACTTCCAGTGTGCACATGTATGAATTGTTCGCATAATGACCTGCTGGGGTGCCAGGATTAGTTACGCAGTCTTAATGCTAATGGCTGAAGTACCATTGTGTGCCCTTTGTGATGTCTAAATATCTATACCATATAGAGAGAAAAAAAAACACAGAGCATTGTTCCCGTTCTTCATTTTTTTCTTGTTAGTTTATTTTTCAGTTGCTTAGAAAAACAAAACAAACAAGCGCTCACAGACGACCCACTAAAACCAAACTACAGTCTGTGCGCTCACCGGAGCTAGTTTATTTTTTTTCAATATTTATGAGAATATGCAAATGAAGGTGCGTCTCATTCAATCGTCGAGTGAGTCATGTGACCCGAGCACAGGGGTCTAAGGGCACGCGGGGCACAGACGAAAGGGGGGGGTTGGGGGGTGTTAGTGGAGACGGATCTCCACCTGCCCCCATCTGCTGTGAGAGCGAGTCGCTCTTTGCATAATGGAAACTCATGGGTGGGTTTTTATTTTCTCTTCATAAACTAAAACACAGTAATACCACACTTACACACTTGCCAGCAAGCTAGGTATCCCAAATGTTTCAGAAGTCTGAAAAACCCACCACACTCAAAATCATATATGTATATTTACATGTATGATATAAATGAGCAAAATATAATTTAAATAGAACCTAGAAATAAAATAAAGACAAAAAAACATATCACTTTGTAAGCAGACACACACACACACACACACACACACACACACACACACACACACACACACACACACACACACACACACACACACACACACACACACACACACACACACACACACACACACACACACACACACACACACACACACACACACACACACACACACACACACACACACACACACACACACACACACACACACACACACACACACACACACACACACACACACACACACACACACACACACACACACACACACACACACACACACACACACACACACACACACACACACACACACACACACACACACACACACACACACACACACACACGATTAGCCTGCACCTCCAGAGACATGTTTGAGCTTTAAATCACCCTTCTCTTGTAACTACTATTTGGGGTGTGTTTCTACCACACAGGATCGTAATTCTTGATGCAAGACAGAGAAAAAAATATAAAAACACTTAAAACTGCCCACTGAGATTCAGTGGGGGAACATAGCATGTGCGTATGTGCATGTATGACTAATCCCAATCAATGAGCTACTTCCTGATTCAAATGCATGAGCAGGCTGACCCTTCCCATGTGGAACATCTCTGTTGCACTTTCCACCCTCTATTCCAATGTTTTTAAATACTTGTAAATATACTGAATGCAGATTAATATATAGAGCCCATTTACAAATGGTGCATGATTGGCTTGGTACGTCAATATCATAGTTCACACTTAAGCTGGAGTACGGTGCCACATATGACTAGCTAATGAGGTCGTACAATAAGATTTCTTCTTTTTCGTAATTGTCTTCTTCAAATACACAAGTTCATAGTTGCTTTCCTCAAAAAAATCCCCCCAAAAAACAAAAGCAAGATCAAGTACGGTCAATATTAAACACTTGCAAAATGTCCACTGCAAAGAATGGCTTGAGTAGGAGAACGTTATTGGTGTCTCCGTGTGCCATGCTCTTCTTTTTGTCGTCACATCAATGTTTTTGCTCTTCGGATGTGTTTCTTCTTTTTTTCTTCAGCAACAGAAAGATGGAAATAAGTCCAAGTGTTAAGTCCTCAGCATGCCCTCTACTGAAACAAGAGAGCTCCTATAAAAATGTATAATCAACAAGGCCACAGTCCATTATAACATCCTATAATCCCTCAGTATGCTCAGCAAATCTCACTCACTACTGAGATGTTCTAGGTTCATCCACGAGCACTGATTCAAATTCAAATTCAAACTTTTGCTCTCTTTTAGTTTTTCAATTGTAAAGCAAATTTACCTCCAAACAGTGCAAAACAAATCACACCTGTGCAATAAGGCCTACTGCTAACACCTCATACATACAACTCATCATAAAAACAAGACTTCAAAATAAAACAACAATTAAAACACGTAATGATTAAAAAAATAATGTAATATCAACAATGTGGTTAACAGAGCGTGGACATGCACGGCTAATCAGAGGAGAAGAGACATTCCCCTGTAGGACAAAAACAAAAGAATTATCAGCAGTGTCTGTTTTAATGCTTTTAAACAGACCCCCCCCTGTGGATGACACCAGGCAGAGCTCAGGGACTTGGGGTGCCAGAGGGGGTGTGTCGTCTCACATGGGCTCAAGCAGCCATCTGCCAGCCTGCTCCAGCCAGCCTGATCCTTATCCTAGGCCCAGCCTGGCCCAGCAGGCCCACTGTCTCATCCCCATAAAAAGGCTTCATACTGAGGGAAGGGGGGATGTTGGTGGTGGGGGAGTTTTGGGGGAGACAAAGGCAGGGAGGAGCGCTGTGGGAGCTCCACAGTGAGGCCCTTTGACCTGGTCCCCTGGCCCGGCGGGGCAGACAGCCCAGACAGACAGCTCCATGTCTGCTCCCTGCCTCCTCCTCCTCTCTTTTATCAGCCACACAGACCCCAGGGGCTGATGGAGAGACAGAGGAGGGGGGGGAGAAGAGAGAGATCGGGGAAGGGGGAAGGTCGGCGGGGCAAATGAGCACAATGAACAGACTGACACGGACTACCCTGACCCTCCTTCCTTCCCTCCCTCTCTCCATCCTCCATTCATCTTTAGGTAGGGATCTCTGTATTCCCTGCGGGCGAGCTGCTCCCCCATCCACCTCTCCCCCTCCCCACTGGGTGACCCCCTCTCCGCTCCTTTATCCCTCTGCCAGACGAGCTCCAGGACTCTGTGTGGCCAAGCACGCCCCTACTGGCCCTAAATTACTGTTTTCTCGACTGGGTGTCAAAAATAATTTGTTCTATTTGAACACCACACCTAGTGTTGTCTTAAAAGCTCACCACTTTAAAAGGGTAGTGTATGTTTCGTTTACGGCAGTGGTCACTCATATTTGAGAAATAACCATAATTGTTCATTGACTTGAACAGCCATATAAAGCTTGATTCTATTTAGGTGTCCGTTTTGGTAAATCCATGATTAGTTCATGTAGAAAATGTTTCATCAGGACGTCATTGGGGGGGGGTCTTGTCTCTTCTCCTCCTGAGTGGGCTGGCACCTAGGCAGTGGTTGAGGTGGTTGTGGTAAGCTTTTGGATGGTTCGGTTGTAGTATTGTGTGGTCAGAGCCTCCAGCGGGCTCCAGCGGTGTGCGTGCAGCTCGATGACCTCCATGAGCAGCGAGCGGGTCAGCTGGGACTCGGCCGGACAGAGCATCTTGTCCCTGACGGCTGCCAGGAGCTCGATCATCATCTCCGGGAGCTGCTCCTCCAGGAGACGGCCCATGCTCTGCAGCTGGAAGAGAGGAAAGGTGGGATAGAAGAAGGTAGGAGGTCAGAGAAAGTGTGTATGTGCGTTCCCCTTACGAAGAGAAAAACACAGTGTCTGGCACCTTGTTACCGTGGAAACAGACAGCAGAGGTTCACACACCCCCTGGCCATGGAGCTGTGTGTACTGTATGAATATGAGCCTGCTGGAAAGTGTGCACAGTTTGTGAGTATCATGGAACTTTTTGGCAAACAGCGCTCATCTGTCTTTGCTCTTTGTGTTCTCTTATTTTCATTTCATGGGTGAGGGTTAGCTTTATCTTCTTAAAGCTTCTGTGCTTCTTTCTGTCTTTCTTTCTTCTGTACCACAACTGCTACACAAAGGTATTTAAAGTTCAGGCTTTACCTGAATCCATAATTCTTCTTTAATTTAACTGCACTTCTTTATTATTGATATTCATCAAGGGATATCAAAGACATGTTTGAGATTGTAAGAGTAGAGCGCATGCTGGAGACTCCTATGTTAAAAGAAAACATGGGCTTTATAGGTTTCAGTCCAGCAGTATCTTCTGTTGAAAAAAAACCTGCAGTTCCACAATTGACCACTTGAGGCCAGCTACAAAGAAAGCCAATGAATTTCCATTAGTTACTATATTAAAATGCCCATTTTTACAGCAGAAATAAACATGTCAGTGAGACTTCTTCCATGTGTTAAACAGGCTATGGTTTCAGTAGTTCTGTTTTTAGGATTAGTCACCTAACATACTGTACATTCTTTACTGTATTGGATTTAGTTCGAATCTGCATATTTTTCAAAGGCCAAGAGAAACTGTGTGTGTGTGTGTGTGTGTGTGTGTGCATACCTCCATTGAACAGCAGAGGACTGCATCTTCTTTAACATCTATGGAGTCCAACAGCTAAAAGAGACAAGAACAGAAATGGTTTCAACATACAAGTGATTGAAAAAGCTGCAAATAAATCAAGGTAAAGACAAATCAAAACATAGCAGCATAAAGAAGTCCAGCACAGTGAGTGGGCAAACCGTACAAGACGAGCAGATACATTAGTGTTTGTTTATTTGGATATAGGCCACATGCGTGGGGGGATTAAGCAAATGCGCGTGTTTGTGTGTGTTAATCAGTTCACAAGAGAAGAAGAAAAGGGAAAGACCTAATCCCAATTGTAAATATTTTCTACGTAAACATTTTAAATCTTGGAAGTCTACACAGCAGGCTTTCATCCTGGCAAGCGAGCTTACCATCACACATCAAGGCTCGCTTTGTGCACACAGTATATCCCAGAATACACACACACAAATACTGTACACACACAGTGGAGGCCAAAAACAAACCGTGGAGCTGGTAAACATGCTATCTGGCTTTTCCTCCCCTAACAGTGGCCCCATGCACAGATGGGCATACAACTGGTACTTTCAAACAATGCAGGGAGGGCAGCCACAAGGGAGGCAGAGCGGCACACAGCCTCCAATGCTAGAGTGTAAATATCTAGTGCAAGATTAGAGCAAAGAGGAATTTGGTTTTCCAGCTATAAGGCTGTTTTAGTTCCAACAAGGACGTGTCTAAAGTGCTGCTTTGATTAAAGGAGGGAAATAAAGTAACATGGAGGAAGGAAAAATATCTTCCAAGTGTAGACCTGATACACAAATGAGTGAAATAAGTTTTAAGTGCAGGGTAAACACTAGGGGTGTAACGATGTTTGTATTTTTCCTCAACCACAACGGGCGTCACAGTTTGGTGCATGCAGTGACACAGTAATAAGCCTGAGTGCAGAAAAAAGGCAATCACTCATGGCAGTATCCATTCCCCAATGCAGGTGGGCTGTAATGCTCGTAAGTGTTTGCCAACCACTATTAAACAACAAACACAGAAAAGGAAGCAAACGCAACAAAACACAAGAAGAAGAAGAGTAATTTAGCATGAGAAGGCGGAGCTAGAAGACCTGCCTGCTTCTTTTAAACCAGTTGTGTAGGGACATTTTGGGTTCACAGTGCATTGTGTCATTGGGATACGTTCCCATCATGTGCTCACATACGCCAGGCCGTGGTCCTTGTTCTTTACTGGCGTACAGGAGCAGTGATTGAGCACAAATAACTGCTGCACCTGCTGCTGCACTATCAACAGATGGATGGACCTCCTGTGCCACTTAGAGCTATTTAACAGTGATCGCACACTTCATCAACTGAGTGATCATTATGCCATTTTAAGAGGTGCATGACAACATCACAGACCTTCCAGGTAATCATAATGTAGCTTCTTTAAGGTACATATTCTATTTTGCCTTGCATTGTGTTTATTGAGACACAAATCCAGAGGATGGTCATGCTCTGTAACTTCTTCATAATGAGTAAACGTTTAGGGCTGACGGAGTAAGTGGACTCCTGATTGTCTACCGATGATTCAAAATGAGAACTTTTAGGAGTTAGTCCTAATAAATATCAAACATCATATAGACTTTTTGGTGTGTTGTTTTGGGGTTCACAACTGTTCCTGATACATACACGTCACCCAAAAAAACAGTTCTACAAGTTTTCAACGGGATCAATCTGAATAATGGTGAGTTTGTGTGATTTAGAGTGTGACTGTATTGAGACAAACTAATGTGCACACATCCTCTCTTGAAAGAACATCTGCATCTTCATAACTGAAAAAAGGAAACAAAGATCACCACATCCTATGCTACTATCCACATCGAGTACCAGCTGTCCTGTAATTTCCACGCTGTAAGCTTAATGGTATTCCTCCTATCATGCAGACGTCAGCTCCTCACTAAGCTTAGATGGGTGTGGTGACAGCGAGGCTGTTTGATGTGGGAACTCGAGTCTCGTCGTTCCCAGAGCAGAAGAGCTGTGTGACAAGCGGGACTTCCTCATAATGAGTTCTCTAGGGAGTCCGGGGTGCAGTTTTCTTACTCAATACGTTTAAAATGATCTTATCTATACTCATCATCAGTCCGACTATCAGCTCTGTCGCTCCTACACCATCACAAGCTGGAGAAAAAACTGTTTCTGTCTCTCTTCTGAAGCTGAAAGCTGCCACATCTCTGGTTTGTTACATCATCCAAGAAACAAAGTGCACCGTGCAGAAACCCGGGGATTCTGTGTGATTTCCATTTGCTGTGTTTTCACTTATAAGGCATTTGATCAGAAACACAAAAAAAAGCAACCGAAACTAGGACAGCTGTGATCCTCTCTCAGCGCATAAATAGAAGAAGTACATCCGACATGACAACAACACCTTGAGTGACTCAATGCAGTCAGCTGCAAAAACATTATTATTCATTTAAATGTCGTGCTGAGGTTTCATCACTCTTTCAGTCTGACTTTATTACTCATGCACATACTGTATACATTTGTATATATCTAAACCTTACATCATAGTGCTGGCTACAAAAAGAGTGCTGAGAGGAAACATGTCTCATAACGGATACTAATGACACACAGAGGTTTCATTTACAACGACTTCATCTTTAAATGTGGTTTCTAACTGTTAGCAAGAGCAGGGTTAGCGTCAAGACTGGCACTTCCCCTGGTTACATTACAGAATATTTTCCTGTTTCTAATGCATCAGTGCTGTACTTCAATAACTGCTTTATAAAGAGGTTTATAAACTAAACAAAATGACAATTTTTACGCATTTACATATTGCGTAAAGTAAAATGAACATATTTGTTGTTATAGGCTGTATGTTCTGAATCTTTGTCTATGATTGACTTTCAGAGAGGAATACTAAGGCAGAGTATAAATAGCTCCTAGGTCACCAGCAGACAGTAGATGTGCTCACAGTCTGCAAATCAACATCCTGATGAAGTTCTCTTTGGGGCTCCTGCACGTTGTTTGTTTCAATAAAAGATGGTATATCTGATCGAGTGTTGCTCCTTGCTCTCTGGTTTTAAACGAATATTAAGCTGTGAAAGAATATTTTTCTCCTCTTCTATCTCTATGTCTTTTTGTAAAAGGTTACATTTTTCTTCTTTTCTGTGCAGCTCATTAAAGGCTGGGTCAATCTGAGTATATATGAATGTCTAATATTCCAGAGAGGGTGTATTCAAATAGCCGAATGCATGCGTTGTGTGTCTCATGCAGATATCTAAAATTACACTCTCACCACAATGTTTCTTAACAACCTATGTAACCAAGGTAACATGATGAAATATAAGAAAGCCCAATAAGTTAGATTGTTATGTGAAGTGTGCTTCATTCTGTACATGGCTGAGGGACATGAGTATTTAAAGCTGTTGGAATATTTTCATTTTAAATAACAATGTATCTTCACTGTGATAAAGTAGTATAAACTCATTGTTCAGCTGTTTTGCCCGCACCTTGATTGTTTTGGGTGCAGTCTCACTGATCATGTAGTTTTTGTTTTCAGGAGAAAATGTTGCGCTCCCATAAGACACTACAGGTAGATGGTTAATGGAGGAACGGCAGAGAAACTCAAGATACAAAACAAATCACAATCCATGGCCCATGATAAAAAGAATATCATGTTTCTGAGATAACCTTCATATTGCAACATGATCATGTAATAATGAATATTGATGATATCTTGACTAAAGAATATAATGACGCACATAACAAGGTGAAGTGCAGGATTCATGTATTTATTCATATAAATTGAATAACAGACATTTTGCACCAGGGTTTCCATAATTGTATCAAATGAGTCAGGATTGTGATATATTTTGTCTGACCTTTACTAGCAAAGAAAAGTAAAAGTCGGAGAGTGAAGTTGGCGGTGATTCTGAAGACCAATTTATCAAATTGAAAGAAATCAGCTTCAAAAGAATGAAAATGCTACAGATGGTTTGCTGCGCCAAGGTGCCTCCCCCATGTAGATGAATGTTTCTGGAGAGTTGGCATGTACCAACGTGGGGTAATGTATTTCAAGGTGTGCTTCAGTGTGTGTTTAGTCAGGGATTATCTAACTTAACTGGTGGACTGTGGCTTTTTTAAGAACATCGTTGGGCTGCTTGAGTCATGAATGGATGACGTCACCTCTCATTAGCTTGCTCCGTCTATATGTACAGCTGTCATGTACACACTTTGTAACACACCTCAGTTGTTACCTAATCATGTTCTGCTGGCTGAAACTACAGAGGAGAGCCGCTGTGAAAAGATCTGCCACACTCACACACACACACACCCCCACACAGTAGGCACAAATGCTTTCATATGCAAACACAGTGGCGTGTGCATGTTATCGCACATAGCTTGAAGCTGGGATCCAACAAATACATGTTACAGCAGGATAGACTAAACAACAGATGGATCAAAATCAGGGACAATGGCTCTGGGTGGAAAAAAAGGCTCGAGTCACATCCTCAAATACAAACACACATATTCACACGAACAGAGCAACACAAATAGGTGTGTTTCCATCTCGTGCATCATTAAGCTAACTTTGACCCCGCTGACGTCGGAACATGGAGGTGTGTTTGTGTGTATTCCTGATGCTTTACGTACACACCCTCTGCCATGCTGCAGAACTGTCTAACAAGCTGAGATAATGCCCTGGGCATACACTCAGACAGGGTGTGGATGGCATTAGTTGTGTGATGATTGTTGTGCTTGTTAGTGAGACGCAGGGTGTGTAGTGAGTGCCAGACCTGCAGAGCTGTGAACAAAGCTGTAAATGTCCTTGGCACGTGCAGCAACCCTGCAATTATTTCACTTCTACCTCTCAATCTAAACTATTAAAACTCAAGATTCTGTCGGCTCTCTCACCGCTGTCTTTCTCTTCTACCTGTCCCGTCACGACTAAACTTCCTCTGCAGTAACTGTCAGCCTGACCACAGTCTCCTCTGCTTCCTCCTCACCTCTTCTCTTCTCCCCCCCCATCTTGCTCGCTTCCCCTTTCGATGTCCCAGCTGTCGTTTACCACTTCTGTATAGCCGTGTGTCTGTTGTGGCTACCCTATATGGTTTCCATGGTGACCGAGTGTGCGCATGTAAGAAAAGCATAACCAGCTGATGTGAACTGAACCCAGGGTCACATGTTTAACTGGAACTGATGGCGTCCTGACTGGTTGCGCCACTAACCAAACCCGGCTGCGGTGTCTGAAGTCTAGACGAGGTCTGACTAAAACAGGAAACACCGGCTTGGTGCACCAACCAATCTGAGGTGACACGATATGCAGACGCAGCTGGAGGTTTTTTCTTCCGTATATGGTTCATCGATTTGTTATTGATAAATAAAGAAAAAAGGTGTAGATCTGAATACGGACCTCTCGTAGGCAGGTGTAGATGGGACACACCAGCACTCTAAATGGCTCCCCGGAGCTGCTCCTCATGGTCCCAAACACCTCACACAAGAAGGTGATGAAACCCAACCACCTCTCCACGTCTGACTGCTGGAGCTCCTCTCGATGGGAGAAGTCCTTCTGTAGGATGAAAGGAAAAAAACACACTGAAAAAAAAAAAAAAAAAAAACACCCTGGAAAATACAATAAAAGACAAGTCTATGCAGCTTTTAATACACATTACAGGTAGGCGTTGGTAAGAGAATATTAAAGTGTCTCATAAATTCATCAGCAGTGCTTGTAATCGCCATTAACATCTTTGCTATCTCTCTGATGGGATTTTTTTTGCAGTTGGCACATGTATTAACCTCTCGACTTTAAGTGCTTCAAGCTAAAAAAAAAATAAAAAAAAAGCAGCTGAAAAACACATTAAACAAATTCATGGATTTTTGTCTTTATCTGCCAGAAGTAGATGAGAATATGTTAATGTGGTTTGAAAGTGAAGAGTAGTGAACTGTGTCAGGGCTGTTAAAAAAAGAGCTGGGGTTAATATGGGTTAATGCATAATGCGCACTTGTAAAGATGTCATACAGTAAGTTAAACTGAAACTTTATTAACAGGCGCAACAACACTCTGCACCTGGTTTTTCCTGCCTGTTAAAGGGACTGAAGTGCACTAGAAACATAAGCAGAATACATTCTCACAGACTGGTACAACCACACTGAATGCCTCCCTGTACACAGACATACAACAAATATGCAGCTTTGAATGGATCCCACAATAAACCTCATGCAGTCAAAAACAAACACCTCCAAGGCCATTGCCTGTATTTAACACCTAAACAAGCGAGCAGTGACTGACGCTTAGCAACAGAAAGGACGAGCTCATGTAAGTAAAGAAGATAATGAGGAAAGTGTGTAAAGCAAGGCCACATTGTTTTTATTCTATGATGAATCAACAGCATACTTCACAGGTAGCAGACTGACTTTGTTTAATCAAAGCAAAAAAAACAAAAAACTATTTTTTCCCTTTTCTTTGCAAAGAAACGCGGCCACACACTAATTGCACCCACATTGAGATCCAGGGGTCTGGGAGCAACGCCGTTAATGACAGCCTTCATGAGAACATTTGTGACATTTAAAAATGTTATAAAGCGAAAGAGCCAAAATGTCAAAGACAACGAGGGGGTCCATGCTGGCTGGGAAAGTGGGAATTAAAGCGAAGAGGAGGGACCACACAGATGTTGCAAGGTGGGGAGAGATAAAGAAAACGTTTTAACGGGGGATAAAAGGATTATGGTGGGTAAGGGATGAAAATCAACAATCTAAAGAAGGAGGTTTATCAAAGAAAAAACAAATGTGAAAGGAAGAGAGAGAAAGAAAAGAGTGGGAGTGTAGTTAAAAAGAGAACCAGTAGGAGAAGGAAGCAGAAGTAGGAGTGAAAAGACGGAGATACAGCCTTGTAGCAGCCGGGTTAACGTTTAAACCTTGAAAGCCATCTGAAGACGGCGTGCAAGTCTTGTTTGCTTTCTTCAGGACAGTCTGCGGCTCTAGCGAGGTTGTCTGACTTTCACGACAGAGTGTGGTAAGAAAAGAGGGCGAGAGGGGGCGAGCATGCAGGGAGAGGTAGTGAGCAGTGGCCCGTGTCGTTCTGGGTGAGGGGAGGCGATCAGATTGGGGGGGGGGGGGGGGGGGGGGGGGAGTAGCGCAGTAATAGAGAGCTCATGAGGAACAGGGAGGAGGGGAGAGAGGAAGTGAAATATACAACTGCTGGGAGGATGTTTCCATGAGGGCGCAAGACTGGAACAGTGCTGTTAAGTGATGGGATGGAGGGTGAATCAGGGGAGCAGCTCTCTCTTTCCCCTGGGTCTTTGGATTAGCTACTTTGCCCACTGACATTTCACACACACACACACGCACAGTTGGCCTCCACCTGAGAGTGCTTTCTCCTCAAACTAATGTTGAATGTATTAAACACCAGAGAGGATTCTGTTCAAACATGCAGTCAAAACGTGTCTGCTGTATTATGAAGCCGTGAGAGGGAGGGAAAAAAACAAAACGTCAAGCGAATAGACTTCAGGGAAAGAATGAAAGGTTGTTCAATTTAAATATGCAAAAAGAACTCAGGGTCGTTACCGCTCAATGGCATGATGGCATCTTTTTTTGGTTCATTAATTTATTATTCAGACAAGACGATGTCATTGAAAGAACAAAAATGACCCCCACAATGGGAGGTGTACGCCATTAAATTAATGAATTTTGTCAGTTTGAATACAAAGATAATTAGTTTTCATCTCTATGAATGGAGAAAGAAGCAAACGCTCACATTTCAATGTTGGAACAATGGCAAGTCTCAACTTTTAACTTAAAAAAAAACGATTTCAGCGATTCAATATCATTGTGCACACAATTTTAATTATTTCTTTCTTGACTTCAGCGACGTAACAGTTATGTGGCTAACTGCTGCTCGACCTTGTATTGCTTTTAAACTAGTTTGTATACTGTTATTTAAGGGGTACATTTTAAATGGAGTGCACTTCTAGGCTTCTGACAACTCAAAGCACGTTTACACAAAACGTTGCATTCACCCTTTCAAACACACGCGTAGCAGCTGCCCATCAGGACACACACTCATTCACATTCAAACTAGAAGTGGGTGATACGAACTGAATGTTCATTGCTGTCTTGTGTGTGCACTGAAAACAAATGTGTGTGTTAAAGCGGTAATTATGATATTAAAAAAAAGATCCATGTTGAGGCAGAATGTTATACTGGTGACTGTATTGAAACTGGTTCACTCTCTACCCCTAATTCACACACCCATCTGGTTCTTTATCTTGCCCAAGGATACTTAGACATGTATACTGCAGGAGCTGGGGATTAAACCACCAACCAACCTTTGAAATGAGGGACGACCCCCTGTGCCATTGAACCAGAGCTGCCCTGAGGCCATTTTGAACAGCAGTGCCTTAATAAAGTTGGTATTCTGACCAAACCATGTCATTCCTTTGTGGTTCCATTATAATTCAATCCATCCTGATTGAAAAACAACTGATTATGGACAACTGGAGGGACCTCATGTCATATTTCATATCAGACATAAGCTACTGTAATGCAACAACTAATGTTCACTCTACCACTTCCAAGCCAACAACACTGTTCCTCAGTGTGGTGACAGAATGTTAACATTAATTTATGTCTATCCCATTGTAGCACCTGGTAACATTTATGTTACCTAGGAAGTGGTTGAAAGACTGGCAACTTGGAAAAACACACTAGGATATATATAACAGCTTCCTACCACACAAGATTCCTATACCACAACTTGAGAGTAAAGTTTTGTGTGGTTGATTTTCGTTTGTGAGCAATTGACTCGAAAAAGATTCCTCACAACACTGTTTTAACTCGGTTACCAAATGACTACATGATTTCGAAAACATATTTTTTGGCATGTCCTTGCTGCACTAGCTTGGCACGAACAGTATTAATTCATGAAATCAGGTCAAGAGGGAGGAGAGAGCTGATATTAAAACAGTGTGAAGCAGATACATGAGAGTAGATGGGTTGTTATACTGAGAGTTATTTAAAAACTGAAGAACAGACTGAAGAAAAAGAGATAAGATAAGCTTATATCAGCATAGACTTCTCCACATTTCTGACCCCACAGCTCTCTTACCTGCAGCATGTTGAGGAGCAGCGACCTGAACTTGGTCCCCTCCACCATGAACAGCGCCATCTTGTCGCAGAGCTTGGCGGCTGTGGCGGCAAAGCTCCGATCTGACACGGCTTTGGAGTAGATGGTGCTGACCACCTGAGCCAGAGTTTCCTCCGATCGGGCGGAGCACTGCGCCTCCTCCATGAAGGAGGCCAGCTGCTGCTCCACCCCGCTGCTGTTGCTTCTCATGCTGTTGAGGAGCTCCACAAGCCGGTCCATGCTCTGCGAACCGGAGCCTGCCTCCACACGTGACTCCTCCTGAGAAGGGAGGTGGGTGAAAGGAGATACGAATGAGTAGTGTTCATTTGTCATGTATTTTGATGACGTTAATTAGGCCCAATAAAAATCCTAGTTTGAAGGGTGACTGTATGAAAAGGGTTGTATAAAGTGGATGGACAAACAGCAAAATAGTAGCGCCTGACACACATACTCTGCATTCTGCACTGAGTGTATATGTTACGATATGCTATGTGCCAGTAACATACTGCTCACAACAGTGTGTTATTCGCTGCTGCTGACTATTGTCAAAAGACCTCACACACGCACACACGCACACACGTATAGAGACAAGTGTGTGTGGATAATAGAACTGAAGGGAAGCAGATTAAAGTTGTGTGTAAATAAAACCTAAAAAAGAAGTTGCAGATTAAAGCATGATTAACAGAAAACATAATATTACCTTTTATAAATAGGGTCATGTAGCCTATTGATGATTTATCCCATTCTATCTGATTGGTAAAATGGCTATTTCGTTTGTATGGGGGAAAAGCTTTTATCATAATATCAACGGGTAGTACACATAATAATATCTATTACAATATAATAATAACATAATCATATATAACAGCAAAGTTTTATATAATTCCTCTTCCTTATACAAATGATATAATGCCAGTCATGTCATCATCAGACATTAAAACATTTCTGAGTTTAAGCAGTGAAAACACAGACTGGCTCATAAATGACTGTTACATAGGCTGCAGTATACAGAATATATGATGCCAAGAAAATAATCCTGCTGACTTTTGATTATTAATAATATGTCTCACACTTGGAAGTTGTAATCAAATGCACTTTTGGTCTGTGTGTCTCTTTTTCTGACATCATGACAAGCATTAAAATACAAATACAGAAATAATAAATGTTCTTCTGATGGTCTTGCTCACATCAGTATTATTTCTTGACTAGATAAAAACTTATTACAGTATGGTATGGCTTATGGAAAAAAAACAAGCACATTCTTTTAAAAATGCCCCCTGTGAAGATTCAGAGGGGGGGGATTTCCCCGAGTCAAAAGTCCCTGTGCTATTGAGGTGCGACGTGTTGAAATGTGTTGTGATTTCATTAAATCCCACTTAGTACTTCAATGACACCACCCATCATGTTCACTATGTGTTAGTTTGAATATATTTTAAGCTAGAGGGTTCATAGTAAAGTTAATATAAAAAAAGGTCTATGGGTTTTTTTTGTGCATTTGTTATATAGGACAATAATTGATCAAGTAACTCAACAATCTTTACACATACCACCTAACCATGTAACTTTATCAGCAAGAGGTGAAACTTAATCACAGCTTCAGACATGTATTAATATATGGAGGGGGGGCAGAGAATGCACATCTTTAATAATCTTAAATCTAAATCTTTGAATTTGGTAGTTTTCATATACCTTAAAGGTGGGAGTCTGTATTGACTGTAAACCATGAAAACAAATTCAAAATAGATTATACAGTAATTATTGCAAAAGCAGAGCAAAAAAAAAAAAAACCCTGTTTCCTACTCTGGATTAATTGATTCACTGGTGTCAGTAAGGATGTGTTTATTTATTCCTGCTGGGGAGTTCTGTGCTGTCACATTAAATCCTTGCTGATGGTAATGAGTGAGGTGTATAGAGAGGACGCTGAGAGCAGCATCATAGTTGGCTGACTTGCCAGTGTAGTGCAAACAGTGGAAAAACATCAAAAAGTGTTAAGCTAATGCCGCTTTAGTTTCTTCACCTCCGAGTGAGAACATGCACTCCCCCTCCCTGCCAGGCTGGGTGTGTCGATGTGAATACTAAGTGACTTGGTAGATGAATGACTGAAGCAAAGCAGCAGAGGAAAAGTGTGCGTACATTGATGGTATTGTCGGTGTGTGAATGAAAATGATGAACGTAATTATAAGATTAAATGGTAGCGTGTGTGTGAACATTCACGTTAGCCCTGATTGGCTTAATACTGAGTGACAGGCTCTAAGCAGCTTTTCAGTACCTTGTCCTTTAGCCTCCTCCTCAACCTCTCCTTTGAAGACTGCAGCAGACTGATTTTGGGCCGCTCCGACTGGCCCTCACCTGCCTTCCCACTTCCTGGTGGGTTGGGAGATTCCTTGCTAACTGGCAGATCTGGGAAAGCGTTTTTACTGGGCGTTGACTCGGATTTTGGTGACTCATTGGGACTCATATTTCTGTAGTCTTGAGGTGATCTGATCTCGTCAGCTGGTTTTACATTCTCAGTCTCTTTGGTTGTTTTTGGGGACACTCCTCTATCGCCTGGAGCGTTCGTCTGTCCGTGCCCCTGACCTTTCTGATTAGGGTGCCAACGCCTGTTCTGGCTATATCCGTGGTGTGAGGCTCCGCCCTGGCGCTGCCCATGTCCTCCTTGATACTGACGAGGTGGCCGACCAGCGCTGCTGTTTCTGTTATCTCCCAGTTCCGATGGACTCTGATGCTGTTGGTGTGGGGACTGTTGTTGAGTTTGGTCCCTCAGGTGCTGTGGTGACTGTTGTTGTATCAGCTGAGGTTGGTTCTTCCCTCCTCCACCTCCTCCTCCTCCTCCTCCACCTCCACCTCCTCCACCTCCACCTCCTCCCTGAGGCCGCTGCTGTCTCCTGAAAATACAACCGGGTACATTTAGTTACGTTCTGATGCTACATCAGCTGGCTTGTACCTAAAAACTGCTCTGCTCCACTTGGAACACACCGCTGTGTCACACTGCAGCATGACGGTCTACAGGCTCAAACTCACTTCAACTCATCACAAGTTTAGTAAAAAAAATCTTCCATTTTCTATCTTTATCTCAAACGCCTTCCTGAACTTCACGATTCACAACCACAAATCTACAGCTACGATTTTTAAAAAATCTAACACCCAATGGCTGCTTACATGTGGATGCACAGTGTTTCTGTGTTTGCCTGTCCTGCATAGCTCTGTCCTGCTGCTGCACTGACTCTGGGCTTGACAAGTCGCTGACATATGGTCCAGGGGATTAGTCACCCTGGCACCTAGTAGGCAGCCTATTATCTGCCTGAGCCTGTGAACTCGCAAAAAAAAAAAAAACCTCCACCAGCAGCAGCTAGCACAAAGATGCACTCACACATCCGAGTCCAAAAGTCCTTTTTTTAAAACATGAAAATGTTTAATGTGTGATCACTGGTGTCTTTGTATAATTAATCAGAGACAGATTCACATTAAAGGTTAAAAAACAATCTTGAGCTGGCTGGAAAGTGACTGTCGGATCTATTTAGTCAAACTTGGCCACCACAAATGTATTAACAATCGACCAATAAAACAAACTTTACCCTCAATTCACAGAATAAATGAGGACATTTAGTGGCAGGGCATGTTACAGACAACAGGTAACACTATAATAAATGAGATACATCTTCCAAGAACTAGGGGAAAGAGATCCAACTTCATATCTAAAATTAAAAGCCAGCCACAGATCTCGTCGTGGACTTAGCACAGAGAAATAAACAGAATTGAACCTTGTGTATTGCCAATACCAATAATTGCAAACCGAAGAACATAAATGAGTACACAAAAGCCACATCCAGCCAATAACTTTTAATTCCTCAGAGAAAGAGACTAGAGAACATTCCATTTTGAGGATTCAGTAGAACATGAATAATCACAGTACTAAGCAATAATGTGATATTTTTAAGTAAAGTCATATAAAGTATGTCTGTAATTAATTTAAGAGGTATTCCAAGTCACATTCTGTGGGGGTCACAGGGAAAAAAAAAAGGTTCAAAATGCTTCAGAGCTTTTTTCAGTAAAGGTTTAACCCAAGGAAAATTGTTTCTTTAAACGTTTAAATGTTAAAAAGAGGATACACAAAGGCAGACTATGTGAGATCTATTGGTCTGTGTGAATCTGCACCAGTTCATTCATCGATGCCAGGACTGCAATGAAATTCCTCCTCACAAAAGATTTTTCTTGCACTTTATAATTTAGCAAACCTCAATACCTCGGTTTTTGGACCAAATCATGAAAAAGTAATTGCCATGCCAGACATTTTAGAGGCAGTGTTACAAAAGCATATGAAGTATTCCACCTTGTGAAAGAGGACTGCTTGCCACCATTACAAGGACAACCTTTGACTTCTTCTTTGAGCCTAAAATGAATCAGATTTATTGCTCCGCGCAGGACAGCACTGATACCGTGCAGATATAATGTTTTTATTGGAGAAATTGAAAACGGGCAATTCTTTAGACATTATTTTGAAGTATTGTTGTAGTGGAAAGATTAGTGTAGTGAATATTAGCATGTCGTACACCATGTAAACATGTGTAAAAACCTGCACCAATGAGAAAGAGAAACATTACAAAAAGGATTCTTCCATTCAAGTACGGGTTGTTTTCTTCGTATGGTCTGAGACGCTCTGTTGCTGCGATAAAAAAAAAGGAAGATGCTGGTCTGGTTCAGGACGTCTGAATTGCTGTTGTTGTGCCCAATGACTTGAAGTATACACTATTAGGGGAAGTAGCGAACTACAAAAACACGGATGTCATTTTGTAATAAATGTAGTTAGCCAACTACATTTGTGTAAAAAAAAAAAAACTGACGAAAAACTGGAGACGAGGGTTCACAGAACTACGCAGGAGCACAGTTGTTGTAAGACAAAATCAAGAAATTACTCACTAGAATGAATCACTTAAATGTGATTTTTTTTTTAGGAACTGCAAAGATTTCTCCTGAAGCGGAAAAATTCATCTTCACATTTTCTGAAAATGGATTAGTCTACTGAGCCGTTTTCTAAGTAAAGAAAAACAACAACCATCAGTATGTTCAAGGGCCTATGTCAAGGTTTTCTCCAAATATCTCTGAATTGAATTGTCAGCTATGCAGAACGCTTTGAAGAGATCATATTTGGCACTGGAAAAAAAAATTTGATTAGCATCTTTATGGAATTCTTTAAACATTTCATAGACTAAGTGACAAATTAGGCAAATAGTCAGTTGTGAGAAAATGGTCAGTGGTTTCTTGGAAATTGTGAGTAATGTGTGTGCGCGCTCTAAAGCACATGGACAGTAAATGTGTCCAAGTGTATTTATAGTCTTTTTGTGCGTGTGTTCATTTGGATGATGTGTCGTCTGCCCCCTCTGCTCCACTCTCTCTGGGAGGTTTGGAGAAAGTTCATCTTGTTTCTCTCTGCTCTACCAAAGAGCCTGCTTCTATCTCTATGCAGATGTTTGCAGCATCTTTCTTCATCATGTGTTCATCAGTCTGACAAATGTTTCTCATCACATGTTCAAAAATTATAGGGACCCTATCAGCATCATTTCATGTCTGTTTCTTATCAACAGCCAACTTTCAAAACTACACAGCTGCTTATAAATGTTTAACCAATGTTTTACCTCATCATAACAGTATAATAGCTTAAAGTTGAGTGGCAGAAATTTCGAGCTCTCATTAAATAAGACTGCAGAGGGCGAGATTTCTTAATCTTTTGCAAAGCTGCAGACTGCTCAGAGTCTCTCACTCTGTCAGACGCACACTCACTCATCTGATGATTAATTTGATCTCTGCACTAGCTGTTAGTTTAGACTCAGCTCTGATAAGCTCTTCTCCTGATCTGCTGCTGATGCAGAGAGCTGAAAGTGAGACAGTAATAAAATGTTAATCATATTTAATCACTACGAGATCCGCGGTGGCTTGAGTGTTGCTCGGATTGACCGACTGGGGAGATGTTTGCATTAAGGATAACTGATGGGGCCGATGATGAAATTTCATCCCATGATGTCTTGTTACTTAGAAACAGGTCGGCTCTGGCGCGATCAATCACCTAATAAAATGAGAATGAGATTTTTTTTGTGTGGCTAAGGTGATGAATCTGGTATCATTAGTGTTTAAATTACTGTTTGATGTTGCATGACTGGGTTGCCCTTCTTTTAGGTTTACAAGTATTAAATGAAATTAACAAAAAACAAAACAAGAGAAAGTACTTAATTCTTGAAAATTCAACCAACCAGGTCCCACTTTTAGTGCTCAGGATGTGGCTTACTGTATTTTGACACTGACCTGGCTGAGACGTGTCGCTTTCCCCCGGGGCCACTGGGCAGAAGTACGGTTAACTGGTCTCGGGTGAACTGATCAATCGCTCTAAAAGCAGGAGAGGAAGGTGCGCCACAGTGCAGGTGATTGGAGGGATGAAGAAACGAGGAAAGATGAAGAGTGGAGTAAAGTGGCAGAACAATTTGTAGGAAAACGGCGATTGATTTTTTTAAAAAAGAAAATGTAAAGGAGGAGTGGAACATTAAAGGAGATGAAAGGTGAGGGGGGAAAAAAAGCATGGAAGAAAAAAGGGGGGAAAAAAACAAAAAACTACAGGTTGGTAACTATATCATTCAATTAACATGCATAAAGCTACAAGAAGTGGAATCTAAAAAAAGGTGAAATGAATTTGCAGATATGATCGAGGGAGGAGGGAGGGGACTGATGATCAATCCCTGCTGTTGCTGTGGATGTGGATGGAGAACTCGTGGATCCATTGGACCATTGGTTGACCCAGACTAGCAAATCAATCATCAGCCCGGGGGACAAGAAGCCTGTAGGCTAGACGGTCAATAACCAGTCCAGAGCTTCATACAGACCACAACACACTGGTTTAATGGACTGTGGGGAGACTGGTTTCGGCTGCCTGACTGCACATTTGAATAGCTCGCGTTTTTTTAAAGCATTTTTAAGCTGCAAAATCAAACCTCATGAACATGTGAATGTGTGTGCAAACATGCATGCAGAAATTGGAGATTACAGTCAATAATTATGAGTCATCATTGCCAGAGGATAAACACAGATAAGCAGGCGCTTCATAGTCAGTGCAGAGAAACAAGCAGCTCAGCTGTGTGCTTTGACTCGAGTACATAAATACATAAATACATACATAACCACATTACATCTTGATTTAATAAAAAAGGAAAAAAAGTCAGGGCTTGCACTAACTCTCTAGAATTATCCCTGTAAACCCTGGTTTAATTAGTTCGATTGAAAGAAAATTAAAAGCAATTCATTTTGATAAAAGATAACTTAAATATTCATGAGATATTGTGAATTGCATAATTAATCAATGAATGCAGACCTATTTGATTGCAGATCAATATAAGATAAGATAAGATAATCCTTTATTTATCCCACAACGGGGAAATTTACAAAAAATTCCTCCATCCATCCATCTTTATATCTATCAATCCATCTATCCATTAGGCCATAATCAAAATATCGATATGGCAATATGTCGCCATGTGCTCCTTGCAAACACGTGTCGTTGCAGATGTTACAGAATCAATATGGCTGTAGGCTGTCATGACAGTTTTGAAAGACAATTGACCCATGATAAAGTTCACAATAACACCTTAGCCATAGCTCTGGGGTTACAATATTTTAATGTATTTCGAGGATCTCTGAGGACCTGAATCGAAGTGTTTTAAGTTGTAGGATTCTTAATATGCCTCTGCTGTTCTTCTCAACAATAAAGAACAGCTGTTGTAGTGAATTCTGTGTAGGGCATTGTCATTATCAAAAATCAATGGATATCACGATATGTATCGTATCGTGGCCTCCGTATTGTGATACATATCGTATCACAGGGTTGAAGGAAATACCCAGCCGTAACATCATCAATCCATCCATCAATCTGTTCTTCTATCCATCCACACAAACTCTACAACAACACATAGAAATCGGAGGCTCTAACAGTCCAACTTCTAGTAGGACAGAAAGGATAAAGTCGAAATGCATAACAGTGTCTTCACACTGAACAGATCCTCATCTAACAGCAGCGAAAAGGGAAAAGAAGAAGAAGAAGCCTATTAGCGCCTTCTTTGCCCCTGTGCTGTTTTGGAGCCGAGAGCAGTAAGCAGCACATTCCAGTAAATCACAACTAATTTCAGCCCTGCTTGACGTGCATACTAAAGTAGAAACACATGCACTACCTCCCCTTTCTTTTCCTTCCTGCCACAGCAAGCCTACACTTTTCCTTTACTCGATCTCACAGACTGCTTCTGTTACTTCAGTTTTTTCACTCAACGTAACAATCCTCATTCTTTGCACGTACAGTCAAATAATCAGAATGTATCTTCATATTTGATCATATACATCCAGATATAAAACATAATCTGTGTGGCTTTTATAAATATTCATTGCTGCGTTCTGTCAGGAGACTGAAGACAAGATCAAAATAAGAGGATTAGCACGTTTGTTAGACAAACACATGCAGTTAATGCAGTTGATCAGCAAACATGCTAAGCATCAGAAAGGGAAGCTGCATTGGCCATTTTCTTTACCATTCGGCAACTCTACATTAACAAACATGGCCAAGACTTTCATACCAATCCTATCCTCGAAGACTCTGCTGCATTGGCTAGTTAAATTGACAATTTAACAGACATTTAAATATATTCAGTGTCCTTGTACATGTGCACAAAAGCTTACTTGACCATAACTTTTGATGTTTTGAAATTAGAAGTCTTTTATCCCACTCTGGCAAAGGATGTGCTCAATTTTGAAAGACTCACTGTTAATCTTTAATTCAAAAAGGTGTTTTTCTCCTCAAGTGAATACTGTATTCAATTTTCTAGTCATGTTTCATACTGTCAGTTTTTATGTATCATTTTGCATGCATTCATATTTGCCTTGCTTGATATTTTATTACAAGTTGTACTTATATAGTATACTGTATAGTCTCTTTAACCTTTACCTAATTTTTTTTAATTTTTTTCAGGGTCAATTCAGAAAGCCTCAGTTTTTCTTGTTTATTCCTTAAGCTACCATCTACCTCATCTATTCTTTGATACTTTTTTATCCAAACCCTCATCCTACATTCCTCATCTCTGCAGTGCAAATATATTTCACCTTTTCTTGATTTTCTTATGCTTTCACAGTCGATGCCTTTTCTTCATAAACATAACCACATAAGACTGCTTATAGATTACAATGCTGGTGCTGGATACACATTAAAGCCTGGTCAACATCAAACCCTTCAATGGAGAGAACTTCAAAAAAGTTAAAGGTAAGTAAGGACATCTTCAGTTGAAGTGCACAGATGTTGAAAAATAAAAGCCATCGGCACTTTTTTCCAGTGCTAGTAAATGTGTATTTCATTTATTGACCACCAGGCAGTGTTTTATTGTGCAATGATATGTTTCACTTTGTGTTTGTTGAGCGAAAGTCATGCAACACAGTCCTTTCTTTTACGGCCCTTGGGCTTCAAACAAGTCTGGTATGTTTTAGGACATCTTCAGTTGAAGTGCACAGATGTTGAAAATAAAAGCCATCGGCACTTTTTTCCAGTTCTAGTAAATGTGTATTTCATTTATTGACCACCAGGCAGTGTTTTATTGTGCAATGATATGTTTCACTTTGTGTTTGTTGAGCGAAAGTCATGCAACACAGTCCTTTCTTTTACGGCCCTTGGGCTTCAAACAAGTCTGGTATGTTTTAATGGTTATCATGCCTCGGTGAAACAAAGCGTTCAATATCTTCTTAAATATTTTCACTGCCACTTTGGCTGAAATTGCTGTTTTTTTTTGTGGTGGCAGCCTTCTACTGTTTTGTCACACTCTTAACTTCTGTTCACAAATGCATATTTCTTTTTGCCAGGCCCGACTATAAAACAATGGCTCTGCACAGAAACAGTTATTCTCTGCACTTAAAAGGGATGAAAGTGCTTTTGTCCATTTTGTACAGCTAAAATTTCCTCTTTTTTTGACTACAGATATAACCCAAATATTTTCTCTTTGCCTGTCTCTTAGCAACTGAAGAGCAGTTTTCCAGTGACATCAGGGCAGGGTGTGAAAGAAAGAGAGAGATGTGTTTTTTTTTTCTATTAAAGACCTGGTTTCAATTAAGTCAGGGTTGGGCAAAATTAGATTTTTGAGTGTGTACAATTGGAGCATATGTGGCAGTGCAAAAAATGAAGTGCCAGAGTGACAAAGTGAGGAGTTGTGGGACTGAATGATAGGTTAAATTAAGCAAAGTAAAAGTTCATCCTTAATCAGAAAAAAAGAATGAAAGCCTGATAACTGAGGGCAAACACAAGCAACTGAATAACTGGCTTTATTTTGTTAAGTGGCCTATTAAAAGTGAAAAACCTTGAGTGTCTCCAAAGAGTTTTTTTCTTTTCTTTTTTCCTGTCTGCAGTGAAGTGTGGAGCCTGCATTCCTGTGTTGACATTGCTTTGGCTGAGGAGGGATGTTCGGTCTATGGGACTGGCTGTGCACTGACATGTGACATCAACAGTGAAAACATTCCCTCTCACTGAGGTAGGTATGTATGTGTGTATGTGTGTGTGTGTGTGTGTGTGTGTGTGTGTGTGTGTGTGTGTGTGTGTGTGTGTGTGTGTGTGTGTGTGTGTGTGTGTGTGTGTGTGTGTGTGTGTGTGTGTGTGTGTGTGTGTGTGTGTGTGTGCGCGCGCCTGGTTACCGTCGGTCGTTCCTCTTGCGTCGGAAGAGCTTTTTGGTGTGTGCGATCTCAACCTCGTTAGGAAGGGGTGGGAAGACCTTTTGGAGACAGAAGCGAACAGTTAGACGGTTAAATCTCTGCTGTCAAGACCAGAACATAGAACATTTTGTGGAAAGAATCTCATAAGACTTCACGTCTGTACAATTAAAAACACATACAGAGCCTCTTTTTCTAATTAAACAGACAAATTCGACGTTTACAACAAGGAGTCCCTGCTTCACATCTCAGGGGTGGCTGGGGGTGCTAAACAGTGTGTTCCCTAAGTTGCCTATCACACATTTGTTAAGCAAAAGCCAATAATAAAAAGCAGTTCAAACACTGAATGGAGCATGTAAAAACATTTTGGTTTCATTGCTCTTTGTTGGAAGAGGCTGCTGGCTTAAGCTCTGCTTGTTTCCAGGGTTCTATGCTGCTTTGTTGTTAGGATTTCTTAGTTCATCATTAACAAGGTTTTTACAGAGAGCTGAAATATCCACAAAAGTCTCTTTAAAAAAAAACTTGGGTAAGTAAAACAGTGAATGAAGCAGCTTTACATCAGAATTCAGTGTTTCTCTATTGCTCTTTAGCTGGCTCATTTTGTTTAATTTTACATCTCAAGATCAGGTGTCTGATGACTAAAAGCCTTTGCACTGTAAGAGGTCACATTAAAAAACCAAGGTCAAAAAAGTGACAGTGACGTGACAGATGGAAATGTTTTTTAATGTTCAGCCATCCAGTCACCAGCTGGAGCTGTTTGGAAACTCTGCTGTGTGCTTTAGGAGTACTAATGATTCCCCTGCACACTGCACTAATGCAGATCTGGTGGGCTGCACTGATGACAACTTTGTTTGCATTATAGTCTACAACTCAAAATGTCTTTAATGAAGTCATCCAACAGACAGCCCAAGTTTATAACGAAGAAATGTCAAACATCCTGTTTCCAGAAGATGACTGCATCATAACCACAGCTGCTGAGGACTCTTTATTTCTTATTGGCTGGCATAACTGACAGGTGTAGGGTCTAATAATGGTCATTTTTTCCCATAAATATTTTGCAGTAGAATGCATTTCCAATTGTCAATAGGACGTTATGCACATACCCTAAACCATCTTTTTCAATACATTTTTAAGGGCCCTATATAATGTATGAATACACATACTTAGAATTCAGAGCCCTGTTTCACTGGCTCGTGTTGGTTGCATGTCAATGTTATGCATGATATTATCATTGAATGTACATGTTGTTAGGTATTATTCCTTACTTATAGGGTCCCCTTCCTTTGAAAAGGAAATGAGCGTCCGTCTATCTGCTATCCATTAAACATCAGCTCTGTCAATCATACACTATGTTTCCCCCTTCACTCGGCATCACTATATGCTGCTGTTACCATGGTTACAGGTGGACCTAGGACGAGGACTTTTATGTACATATATACTATGCAAGGGTAGCTGGTGTGAGGGAAAGGGCTGGGTGCATAAATGCCTGTGAGATGTGGCTGTTAAGAGTTATTGTGAGCCCCCTCAGCGACCAGAGTCTGTTTGTGTCAATGTCAATCAGGGATCAGGGATGCATGTGTGTGTGCTGTGCAAGAAATAGCTGCAGGCTGATGCAGGCAAAAAGCCCCAAATGTTCCCGAACTCCCAGCCAAATGCATTGTGCAAAAAAGGTGACCGCAGCATGTAAGGGGGAGGCAGGACTCTCTCTGTGCTCTGTTTGCATTTAGTAAAGTATTTGGCCCTTTTCTTCTATATTTATTTTCTTTATTAGAGCAAAAGAAAAGCCTTAAACCAAATAGTTAGATCCCCCTGCATCTTGCCTACATGCACATTAAGATTATTTACAGTTTGTTATCTCAATCAGACACATGTTTGGAGATGATGGGTTTTTTTTTTGTATTGTAAAGAAATAACAAGAGGTTGTGGTTGATTTTAAACACATGAAAAAGTATTTTTTTTTTATACTAACCCCTACAGTTTAAATAGACAGAGAAAGATGAGAGGAATGGAGAGCCACAGGAAATCGTTGTAAGCTGACCACAATCTCAAAGGACAGCATTCTTGTGTACATACATACAGACGATGCGCATCAATGGGGAAAACATTTCTTTCTAAAGCACTGGGAATCATTTTTCTTTGATTTTCCTCCTTTTGCAAACCGTTCATTCAGACTTTTCAGAAAAACATGCTGTAGATATTCAAATGAATTTAAGAGAGAGCTTGATATCTGACACTGCTGCTATAACCTACTTCTCTCTTGGAGCGGCTGCTGGGGGATCATTGGGTTCTGATTGAATCCAGATGTGAGAGACACAAAGTGTGGGAGGGTACTCTATTCGTGTGGCAATATCTAAAGTAATATCTAAAAAAGGCAGACACACTTAAACTGTCTAGTAGTACAAAGCTTTACCAGAACTGTATTAAATACCTCAAATTTAAATCAAAAGTATTCCTGACTGTGAATTTGTCTTTTTCTTCTCCATATTTTGACTTCTTGCCAGTCGGCCAGTCCGACGGGGAGGAAAAGTAGGCGGAGAGAGAGAAAGAAAGAAGCGGAGGAGCTGTTGCATGTTTAGCTACTGTAGTTTTCCTCTAGGATATCATTAGCTGTAATTCTGCCTTCAAATGGTAACCAGATGACAGCGAGTGCAGGCGAGCACACACACAAACACACACACACACACACACACACACACACACACACAAACACACTGAGGGCAAAACGATGCACTCTACACATTTGAACGAAATCCCTTCAAGTCGTTCCCTTCGTTACATTCACCACTCGTTTTTAGATTAAAAAAATAAAAATAAATAGTTCTCAAATGAGAGCTTAATTTGGAAACTAGCAGTGCACTAGAGAGACGCTCCCGACCCACACGGTCTATAATGCATCCCACAGAATCAGAGAGGAAGGAAGCTGGAGATGAGGAGTTGTCTTTATGGCTGGAACGGAGAGTGCTCAGGGTGTGTACGTGAATATGCTATCTGCAGGTAGCAGTCACTGCGGAAAAGATCAAAGAGAGTTGTGTGCTGCCCTGGTCCCCAGCCAGAGGACCTCTCACCTCGTGGCAGCCAGCACGAGCCCTGTGGACGTGACAAGGATGGCGAGGGAGGGTTGTGAAGGACCATGATGAGATAGAAACGGACAGAAAGATAGCTTTTCTCTGTGGTTTTGTTTATATTGGGATGTTTGAAGTAAAAGTGCTGGATTTTAGACTTACAACAAAAAGATTCTTTAAGGGAAAGCTGAGTGTTTCTGAGCACTCTCTTTAAAATAGCAGAATAAGTTGGAGTGGTGAGTGATGAAAAAAGCTGGGGAAGAAAAGGTAGAACAGTAGCACCGTTTATGTTTTATAGCTCTAAAATTGAAGTGCAGATGTAGAAATTAGAATATTAAAAGTGCATGATATTTAACAGCACAAGGTCCAGATTTTATAAAGCTTGGAAGTTATCACAGCTACAATATTTCTATCATTAATCTCTGCAATTACAAGGTAAACACTGGAATTACCCCATTAATTCTGCAAAGTAATCTAGCATCAATGTGCACTGGCATGTATTTGATTGGTTTTCACCAAGGGGATTCCGGGACAAAGATTAGTAAAACGATGAAAGTTGTAGGAGCAGAAAATGAAGGAATGAATGTAGATGGGGTTTTTTTTTTCAATGTAAGGGAGAGTTTGGACAATTTGATTTCAATTGAGATGGAAAAAAACAAGAGGAAACAAATGACTGGAGGTGGGGGAATTCCAATTGTTGAGGAAGAAAGGACCAACAGTGATGACTTCAGATTCATGATGGTTTAATGTGAGACGTTTTTCATCCAGGTTTTTATATTCTTCAGAAAGTCAAGTATGATGGAGCAGCTGGTGATAATCATCAGATTCGTTAGTAAGTAGATTCTAGCTAAAAAGAAATGCAGAAAATGAATTTGTTTCAGCCAATGCTTAAATATGGCATTTCCAGTTTGAATTGAAGAGTATTTAAATAGCTTGTCAACTCAAAATTATCATCAAGATACACAGTGAAAATGATTTTATCTGAATAATCATATATCTGTATGGATTTCTATCCAGTCTGACATCCCTGATTCAGGTGTGTTTTTTTGTGCCTCGTACTGTGTTGGGGTGTCGCACGTTGAAATGAAATTGACAAACCCCGAAGCATTACAGGATAAATCAGAGGTCACTAGGAGAGGCTACCTGGATGGAAACAGGGAGGATATGTTCTTATTACAAACACTCCATTAGCCACATAGCTCCTCCATCTTCACTCTGAAGATCATAAAGGTTTGAAGCAGCTTACTGCTTTCAAATGCTACAACTTCACCCTCAGTAGCAAATAAAAAGGGTTTTCATTTTTTCGAAAGGGTTTGCCAAAAAGATCATTGACCTGTGTCAGATACCATTGTTGATCCAATCATAACAATGACGTTGCTTGAGTGTGAAGGGGGTCTGACTAACAAGGCAGGAAAGTGGGGAAATGAGGAATGCGTACGGGGATGGAAATGGGAAGAATAGAAACGGAGAAAAACTATTATAGAACTTTCTCTGCAATTGCATGGAAAGTGAAGTGCCAAGCCTTCCCGTCTCTTCTAGTAAGTAACAATTCTGGTATGATGCTCATTCAGACACTCTATTGTTTCTCTTGGCTTATTTATGTTGCGAGGGCCCTGGGCCAAAAGCAATAAATTTAAAACTGCCCCAGGGGTGGCATAACAGGACAGGTTGTTGAGCGCCGAGGAGAGAGAGCAGTCATGCGAGACTGTCAATACATGAGAGTAAGGATGTAAAATAGTCAGAGGGAGGAATTAATGATTTGCCTGAATATATGTTAATACATATATTATTTTTGCCCACTTACTAAGCCTCAATGAATAATGTTGCACTGTTCTTTCTCCTGAATAAAATGTAGCCATTCTCTTCTTCATATGTTGTGGAGTTGTGCAACTGTGAAAAATATTTGTGCCTCTTCACTTTCTTTAATATTAGAAACAGCAACATGCAACACGTGTTTTATTAAGCTGTAGAGCTTCTCTTGGTCTTGTCTTAATTTTTTT